GCACTGAGCGAGCGGGGAAATTCGTATGCATGAAAATATAAGTACCCGTGACTGCTTTTCTTAGCAGGCGGGGAAATTTGTTATTTATAGCAAAATTATTTAATTAAGTACCCGTCATTGCTTTTAGGCGGGGAAAATGTCATACTTTAAATCTGTGCTCAAAGATCCCGTGACCGCTTTTTTTAGCGAGCGGGGATTGGAACTACGGCCGCGGTGTCACCCGACACCTACCGTGACTGCCTTTCTTAGCAAGCGGGAAGGCCTTACACACTCCGAGGCAGCCCCCTACGCGGGGACGACGTCGGAGTACTGCCAAAAATTTCAACTGAACCTATGACTTAGAAAATTTTAAAGAGATTAAAATCCACCTACAAGCGTATACAAGCGGGTTCGTGGAGACGCATTCAAATGAATAACTAAAATTTGAACCTAAATGAGAGCTTAACTTGAGCTCAATATGTACATTAATTGAACCTACAAACATTTGACTCAAACTTGAATGAACATAAAATCTAAAGAACTTGAACATGATCTTGAACATTTGAACTCAAGCAAATTGGATCATATGGAGGACTTCATTTGAACTCGAACTCGATCGGAACATGACATGAACTTGAGCCTAATTGAATTTGTAACAATTTAAATCAAATTTGAATATCGAAGCAATATTGAAGCAAGGCTCCGACATGTTGAGCTAGAACAAATGCAAAAGAGCAATGATTCAAGATTGTGACTTGGGACAATTATAAAGAGCTTGACTTGAAAATGATATCAAAATTTTAATGAAATGTTAAGGAATTGTCATCTCAAGTTGAATGCAAAATGCTAGCCAAAGAGATCTAAATCATTCATAAACACAAGTTGAATGACTCAAATAAACATCAAAGGATGAGCTTTGAAGAATGTGATTTGGAGGATAATCAATGTTCCTATGGAATTATCATTCTAATGAGAATGCGAACGTTAATTAAGGAGGGCAATCCATCCAAATCTCATCCAAGCAAGAAATGACTCATACACAAATTCATTTCAAGATTTGAAATGGAATTTATTTGAGCAATAACGAGCAACTTGTAGTGATCTTCTTGATTGAAAAGATGGAGGATTTTGATATCAATGTCATTATACAAATTACAAATTATCTTTGAAAATAAAGAACTTCCATGTATGACTCGTTTACAAGAAACCGAAAGATTATGAAAGATAAGGCTTGATCTTAAAGCCATGATATGAGGACTTTTAGACCCTTAAGTTGATGATTGCACAACAAGGTCAAAAGTGTAAGATTCTAAAGAACAAGGTTCTAGATCTTTAAACCAACAACTCCAACAAGAAAGTATAAAATTCATGGCATGCAAAAGTTTATCACATATACAACATTTGA